CCCCGGACAGCGACAGGGCTCCCCCCGGACAGCGACAGGGCTTCCCCCGGACAGCGACAGGGCTCCCCCCGGACAGCACTGCGTTTCTTGTTCTGTGGTCCTTCTCAATAAGTCACGTCAGGGCTTTGCATCCCCTACGATGTTAAAACGTAAATAATTAGCTCGTGAGTACAGTCAGAATATCGTAGCTAGCTGGCTGGTCAATAAAACATGTTGCTTCAGCATCTCCTGAATAAGTAACGCATTTATTTAATATTTAGTGTAGTGACTGTATGTGGCCAACAGGGGACCCCGAAACCTCAAGAGCCCTACTCAAATGCAAGGTTTGAGTAGCATTAGCAAGCAGCTACATCTGGCCAGTCTGCCTTAGCTGAAAGTGCTGGTGCCAGTTTGCTTCTCCAGTGGCTTCTGCTCTGTCCCTGCAGCTTCTTTCAGATGCCGCGAGACCCCTGGAGCAGGAGGATTTCAGCCCCCAAGTCAGAGACGTGAGTTATAATCCTTTGTGTTTTGGGGGCTTTTTGTTACCGTCTGTGCCGCAGCTGTTCCTGGTCTAATGTTGGCCTTCTGGGATCACAGAGTCCCAGACATGAATGACGTCCTTCTTAATGCTCAGCTCGGGTGAAACCTCCATACTGCACGTTCATTGATTTGGCTGTTTCCCAATTAAAGGCTGTCATCACATCAAACGGAAAGCTCACCCCCAAGTTTGAATACATCCAAAGCCTTCGAGAGAAAAGGTACCCCCCCCAATTCCTTCTTTCTTATTCCTAGATTGAACCGGGAGCCATTGTATTTCGTGTTTTTGCTCTTTATTAGACAGTCTCCGGTATATTTTTGATGACATCACATCTGTGGCATGTCCGTTTTATGCTAATTAGCTAAGAGTGACTGACGTGCTGCTTTGTTGAGGAACATGAGCGCGTTTGCTCTTGCATCAGGTGTTGAAGTCCTTGAAAGAGGTCACCTCAGGGACAATATGTTCAGCACAGCCAAATATGGCTGCAGGGGGGTGGATCAGTTTTTTTTTTTCTTTTGCATTGTGCTGTTTTTACATTCTGCCTCATAAATGAAAGATTAATTTAACTTGCTGCTTTTTCTGCAGAACCGTTTTGAATAATAGTATAATAGTGTCTTTAGTTAACATACCGAAAACGTAACATTTCAGTAATTTTTATCATTTTCATCATGTTAAAAGGTACGTTTCCATCTTTATCCATCAACTGTCACAACTGACAGAAAATAGTCTTCAAATGTGTTTATAATCACAAATGGCTTAATATGATTTAAGCAATCAGCAGTTCAAACAAGGATGAAAATGGGTTCAGCTTAGTCATAGGGTCTCGGTTCCCACCAGTAGGGGGCACACTCCTTTCGCACCGGCACTGGATTCTACTCCCTGACTGTCCCGTCTGTGTTGTCCCTGCATGCTGGTGTTGCGCAGTGCAGTAATGTGTCTTGCTTGGCATTTTCCATGGTAACACCTCACTGCTGTAGACCCGGACGTCTGTCTTCATTGGTAGGTCTCATTTTCACCCAACCTGCCCTCATTTGAACTGGAGCCTGAGCTGGTCCTTATTTTGACATTTACTAATGAGAATCAAATTAGCGTAAAATCATGCAGAACATCAAATCAGCAACTGATTTTATTCCATAGACGCTGTGTATTTTCACGGTTATTCCTTTATCTCTGTATAGGCCTTCCATTCAGCGATCTTTAATGTAGACTAATGTCATTTATCAGATTATTACCAACCACATCACCTCCACTCTGTTAAGCATTTCACATTTGGTTTGTATGGCTCTCTGCAGTGTTACCAGTTTCTTGTTTTGAATGCAGCCTTCTGTTTACCTGATAAGAGCGTGACTGTAATTGAAACTGCTTTCTTTATGCTGAACGTGATGAATGCAAATAATACGAGGTTTTATTCAGATTTAGTTTTAGGATGAGGGGTAATTTGCACATTTGATCCGTCAAGTCATTGCTCGAAATTCTCAATATTTACCTGAATACAGATCCACCTGAATGCACCTTTTCAAATAAGAGCCAAAAAAGATGGTTTTAAAGGATTTAATTACACGCTTATGCATGTTCCATTCGGCCTGGTAAATAAGCGCTTTAGTTGCGTGTTTAAAGCTCTCATGGTTGCCCAAGTACACCGAATGACGCTGCAGTGGACGTTCTTGCTGGCCCTCCTGTCGTTTCATTTTCATTGATTTAGTTGGCTTTTGTTTTTGTTAACATCTGCATGTGGGCCATTTCGGTAGCAGTTAAGAGATCATTCCTGTCTGGACATGGCCCACGCGGTGTGAGCCTATAGCCCATTTGGAGACGGCTGTGATATGTCTGCTCTCCAGGGAACGGGCGCAGATTCTGAAGGTGAGCGGCAGGAAACGGGTTCTGCTCCTGGGCTCCGGCTACGTCTCTGGTCCGGTCATTGAGTACTTGACGCGAGACTCTAACACTCAAGTAACTGTGGGTAAGGAGCGTGTGACTGCTTCAGAATCCCCAAAGCTTCAGCAAACATGCGACAGATGAAACCCCTATGCTCGCATAACAGAGTTTCATAGTGACCCATTGCAAGATTACAGTTTGGATCTGGTGTCTTAAACCAATGTTTGGATCTGGTGTCATAAGCATCTACTGAAGTTCTCAACTGTCGTCTTCATTTTTACACTTCAGCATCTGTGGTTCTGAGCCAAGCTGAAGACCTTGCAGCGAGATACCCCAACACCATCCCTATCATGCTAGACGTAACCAGCCAGGAGAAACACCTGGAGTCCCTGGTCAAAGACCACGATCTGGTTATCAGGTATGAAGGGCGAATGTTTAAATGCACGCTGGTCTGAGCGCCTGTGGTTTCGGTCAACGGGCCGTGTTTGTTTTCCTCAGCCTGCTGCCTTATGCACATCATCCCATGGTGGCCAAGCACTGCATCAGTAAGAAGGTCAACATGGTGACAGCCAGTTACCTCAGCCCGGCCATGAAAGACCTTCAGCAGAGGTACACAGGGAGGGCGCAGGAGAGCCGTCTACAGGGGAAAAGAGTGTTTCACTATCAGTTGATATATATGGTTGAGTTCCTGTTCTGTCTGTAGTGCGTAGACCAGGGGTCTCCAACTCCGGTCCTGGATAGCTACTATCCAGTAGGTTTTCTATCCTACTTGGCTTCTGATGGGTCACACCTGTTCTCAGGAAAATACCACTGGAGTTGGAGACCCCTGGCGTACACACTTCCAACAGTCCTGTTTCCTTTTTGTTATTCCATTGACCGTACGGATCGGACTGCGAGGCCCTTGTAAATGTCCTGCGATAGATTCTCCTGATCGTTTATCTGTCTCCAGTGCCAAAGAGGCGGGCATCACCCTAGCGAATGAAATGGGACTGGACCCTGGGATCGACCACATGCTAGCTATGGAGTGTATTGACCAGGCCAAGGTTGATGGTTGTGCTGTGAGTGTCGCTCTTTCTGCGCCTCTCTGCATGTGTTTCAGTACTTTAAGAGCAGGATTGTCACGTTACACTTAGACCTTGTAGATACTCTGCAATAGTGACATTAAAGATGATGGTATTCATTACTACTAAGATTTCCATATACAGCATTTCTGCTGTGTATTTTGAAAGATTCAAAAAAAAAATTTCTATTCCATGTCGTTATTTACAATCACCGGTTTCATTCTGCATCAGCATGTTTTGTAAGCGAAAAGCCGGGTCACTTGCTTTAACGCCGCTGGTGATCGCAGGTGGAGTCGTACAGCTCATTCTGCGGGGGTCTACCCGCCCCTGAGTGCTCGGAAAACCCCCTCCGCTACAAGTTCAGCTGGAGCCCCTACGGCGTCCTCCTGAACACCATCAGCCCCGCCCTCTTCCTGAAGGACGGCAGGGTGAGCTGGCCCGGGGGGTGGGGGGGGAACCTCGTGCGTGGGATTATTTACACACCGGCCTGCTGCGCTCTCTCCTCACTCACCGAATCATTGACACTGAGTCACCTGACAGCTGCTGCTACAACCGTGTTGTGCTCACACTTGAGTGTAAGCAGCGTGTGAAACAGGCGATCAGCAGGACGGCAGAGGGCAGAATAAGCTTAAAGGCTTGGAATAAACGGCACTTGGTGTGTCACTCATAAATGACTGTGGAGTTTAGAAATATGGTGCCAAACAGGTCTTTCTATGGGAATATCCACACAGGTCATGTCGACACGCCGACTTTGGTAGCACGTTTGATCGTTTCTTTTTCTCGAACGTGCAGGTGATGAACATCCCTCCTGGTGGCGCCCTGCTGGAGTCCGTCATGCCCATGGACTTTTTCCCGGGATTCAATCTGGAGGGTTTCCCAAACCGGGACAGCACCAAATACGCAGAGCCGTACGGGATCGAGTCCGCACACACGCTGATCCGGGGCACGCTGCGCTTCAAGGTGCGCCCTCTGGCCTCCTGCCACAAAGGTTCACGTAGCCAGTTTGGAGGGACATGGGAAATTCCTATAATTCCCTCCTCTCTCTTTCAGCCATGACACCTCTGAGAAGCTGAAATTCTTGTATCAATTTACCCAGCTAGACATGTACCTTAAATATTGATGCCGAAACAGATGTTAAATGATTACTGATACTGTTTAAGTGTCATGCTTTAGGGTACAACGTCTGAGGTCGCATTTTGACCACTTTAAAAGGCTGCACTGTTCGGCCTGCTCCCGTATCAGTCTCCATGAAAGAATGGTAGGAATGTGAGAAATGTCTTCGTTTGTAGGGTTTCTCAAACGCGATGAGTGGATTTGTGAAGCTGGGTCTGGTGAACACTGAGCCCTGTCCGATGCTCAGCCCTGGGTCTGGCCCCGTCTCCTGGGTAAACCTCAGCCGCCTCTCTGGGCTCAGTTTAGAATAGATAACCAGAATGAAGATGCCTTTGACGTCTCAGGTCGCCTTTGTCACAGTACAGATGTTAATATTTTACAAAGGCCTGTAATCCATTGCTTCACCCGCAAATGAAGCGCTTCCATAAAATGTGGCCTGACTGATCTGCTGTCCCCTCCCAGAAAGAGCTGCTCTGTCACCTCATGGGAATTCCATCATCAACCAGCGGATCTGCCTTCCAGGAGGCTGTCTCTGCCAGGATAGGAGGGGATGAGTACAGGATGGAGACACTCAAGTGGTGAGATGTTTGTAGAAGCTGCTGTTCGGGCTCAGTGGTCTGATTTTGGAAGGAGAATGCTGACATGAGGGTGGATGTTTATTTTCATTCATTCATCTATTTATTTATTTTCAGGTTCGGTATGCTGAGCTGCGAACCAGTGCCGCAAGCTGACACGATATTGGCTGCGGTCGCCAGACACCTGGAGGCGAGGCTCCCCTTTGGTATGGACTGGAAGCCCTGGGTTAGTGGCCTGTGGAAGGGGTGGAATCTGTAACGCTGAGTGTCTGTGCATGTGCTTTGTAACCGCAGAGAAGAGCGAGAGGGACTTGATCGTCATGAGGAATGATGTGGGCATCAGACACTCCGCCGGTGAGCTGGAGACGAAACACATCAGCCTCGTGGTGTACGGGGACCCCAACGGCTTCTCCGCCATGGCCAAGACTGTGGGCTACCCCACGGCCATCGCTTCCCGGATGGTCCTGGACGGTCAGTGCGCCAGCAGTACTGACGATAGTTAACACGCTATGTCACATGGTCATTTGCCAAGACAAACAGGGCATGTTCCAGCAGTTCAAACTACAGTCGTTTGAACGCAACACAGGAAGTGAACATGTCACGTGATTTTACCTGACTGTCCTTCAGAAACAGTACATTTTGTGCCAAAATAAATGTACTCTTTCCTTTCAGGTGAAATTGAGACCAAGGGATTGGTGTTACCACTGACCAAGAACATCTACGCCCCAATTTTAAGACGGCTGAGGGATGAAGGGATTCGGTACAGCACAAAGAGCTCCTTCTCCGAATAACTGCAGTGAGAGAGACAAATGACGTCACACTTCCAGTGGGCAGAACACATTGTATACGTGGTAAAAACATGCTGGGCTTTTCCAGTGACACTACATGGAAGCTGCTCCAGTGCTGCACTGCTTAACACCCTTTCAGTTTCCAAAGACTAAGGTATGCAACGGTCAAGCCACTACACGAATCATGGCCCCTCAGTGGTATTTGTCCATTAGAACACGCATATAGATGTGTCTGTGTGATTGTGCAATCCTGATGCCTTAAATCAGTTTCCCAGAAGCCCCACGGTTTTACTCCCTCCAAGTAACACTGCCACCTACTGGCATCCTCACCACTATTTTTAGACAGTTTCGTCTTGTCACATGTGCACCTCAGATGTTTGCTATTTTTGGTATCAAATTCTATGAAGTGGATACATTATTTTTAGAATACAAATTTTTTTAAATGATATTTAAACCCAGTTTTGAAGAATAACTCCTAAATTAAGGAAAATTTCAGGAAAAATAATTCAAAATTGAGTGGTTGGCATAAATTATTGGAATGAATTTGTCATGATTTAAATGATGTTTGAAAGTATGAAAGTAAAAGCGGAATGTTCTTTGGGTGATCTTTTGGTAAAGGTAGTAAATATATGGTCTTTTAATGGATCACTCCTTAAATTTTAACAGCTAAAGGTTGTTTCCCTGCATCCTAAAATAGAGAACCCCTTTTCTTTGTGTGCTGATTTTTGGGGTTCCTGTACAGTTAATGGACTTTAACTGGAAATTAACTGGACACTACACTGGCTTTACTGACAGCACTGAGCAGTGGTGGGCAAATGCTCAACAGGCCACAGGCAGTGCTGGTTACCAGCCCTTCCTACAGCTGCTGTAAGAGTTGCTGAGTGCTTAACAGTTTCCTGCTCTTTAAATAAAAGATGGGCCTGTTTCAAAAGGTGCGGCTGTATCCTTGCATGGATAAAATGCACATTCACCTCCCTGGACACTTAGGAGCTTCTTGGGTTAGTGCTCAGCCACAGCAGGGTTACAGGTGAGCAGCTTAGAACGGGGGGGGTGGCATGCATGCTTGGGTCTAAAAGGTTAATGCTTAAGGAACTGCAAGCATTTAGAATTCATCGCAAAACCCTCTGCTGCTCCATAACACTACAGGTAAACATTCCAGTACATTAACATAACAGTACTGCAGCATTTGTTCTGAATAGGAGAAATGTCTTTCAAGGAGGGCAAGTCTTTTTCCAAGAATTAATTTCTACCGTATGAGAGATCAGATTTTGCAAATCAAGCATGTGAGGATAAGATGCAGAATATTTAAATATATTCATGTCCTAGCTGATCAAATGATACTATTTTATTAAACACCAATATTTATTAAATATACTGGTTTTATATCTGTTACTACAGCATTGTAAATAAAAGCAAAGTTGTCGATGGTTCCCTTGTATGCATTGTGAAAAAATTAATTCCGTTTTTTTTTTTTTTTTTAAAACTTGTCCCTCGAAAGCACATAGCAGTTAAATTAAGAATATTTAATCTGGGGCACCATGCACAAGATAATTAGAAATGTAATTACTTAAAGTTTAAAACACAAATTAAAGACCTACTATGGTGTAAGTCATTGTCTGGAAGCTTGCCCATTCTATCTGATTAAATAACTGGACTACCACACAGATTTTTAATTATTAAATCATTTTTGCAGGGGTTATTCTATGCCTAGACAAAGTGCATGCAGTGTGCGTGCGTGCGCACACACACACACACACACACACACACACACACACACAGCTACCTACTATGCTGGAGGTTTGGCAGACTCTGGGTTAAATTCTGCAAATTTTGCTCCCTTTCATCTGGAAGTACCCAAGCTCCAAGTCCTCTACATTATCCCTGCAGTGTTCTTCTCCAACTGGAGATCTTCCGTTTGACCCCTCTTTTAAAACGATTTGACAAATGGTTGGACAAGCAGATTAAACAAAGACACTATTCCTTGACTATACAGCAGGGCTGTTCAAACCGTGGTCCTCGAGGTCCGAGCCCTGCTGGTTTTCCAGCCTTCCTTTACCTGTGAGCCAGGTGTGAAGCCTCTGTTGCCAGTCAGATCAGTAATTATTAAACGAACTATCCGGTGTACCTGAAAACAAGGCTTGGATTTGGAATCAAGGTTGAAATTGAAGAGCCCTGCTCTAGAAAATCTATTTTTGTATAGTGCTTTTCTACAACATTATATTATCTCAAAGTGCTTTACATCATCCCTGCCCGTAGCCCCCAGAGACCAAGGCAGAGGTGGCAGTGGTAAGGAAAAACTCCCTAGGAGGAAGAAACCTTGGGAGGAACCAGAGTCAACCGTCGGCACAAATCAGATTTTTGTGATCTCAGACCAGTCTTCCTAATCAAAGCTCCAAAAGAAAATTACATAGCGATGTTTACTTAGACAATGTTATGATGTTGGAATCCCTGCTCTCCATGACTTGTATGAATATCGTTTTCCTTTTTTGTTTGTTTGGTCAACGGATTAAGAACGCCAGCAGCTCTGAAACAGCCTAGTCTTTATTGAATTTTAACAATGACGTAAGACAACTAACCAAAGGAGAATTCAAGCAACTTGTTTGATTAAAAGTCCGGTTAAGGTGAACACATTAAATGTTAAATTGTATCTGTGTGCAACTAAAACAAAAGTCAGTAATTCATGCTTCATTAATTTCAATTATCTATATATGTTTATCAATTGTTTAAAACCATTCATTTAATTATTAGAATTCAGCCATACCTTTCAGAATGACTAGAAAATGATGCAGTAGTAAAATATAAAAGTCTATAGGTATAAATAAAGTTTTGGTCCATTGTTCTTCACTATAATACTATCTGTATTTACATATTAGAACATTACTCAATGGTCCTATTCAACATTGGGATATCTAACAATGTATTTACAATATCTTTGTGTGAAATTGAGCAATGCCCAAATTTTCAAATCTACAAAAAGAAAATAAAAAGATATTAAAAAGATGGACCCTTCCCTTTAAGGGCTAAAACAGGAAAATTAGAGAAACTAGCAGTGAATTGAAAAAAAAAATTAGTATAAAATCTGTTAGGAGTTGAACAGGAATTATGTAAAGGCACACATTACAAGATCATGTCATTTCCAACAGCAAAGTCAAGTCAAAAAAGGGGATTCACAGCATTTCTTAAAAAAAAGAAAGAAACGGTCTCAGAGAAGAGAGGTTTGAGGGTCTGTTGCCATGGTTACACAAGGGACTCCAAACTCTCAGCGGCGTTGCTGGAGCTGAGAGCAGTCCCGTTGTTCTCTGTACTCTGAAGCGCTCGCTCATCTTCCTTCGTGCTAACAAGGCTCAGGATTGCATTGTAGAGGAATTGGTACTGATCCTGGAACAGCAAAGACACTGGTGTTGTCTTCTGTTATAACCCACTATGTTATAAACAACAGAACCTACTGATATCTATAGAGAATACACTGGACTTTTGGGACGTATGTATTCGGAGAGAGGAACTCACTACATCAGTGAAGACTCCTGGTCTCATGAGGCTGGTCATCTTAGCCACCTGATAGACATTGATGGTGTTCTCCATCTCTAGCTGGTTTGACAGAGTCGTCAAGGCACAGAAGGTCGCAGCAGTGACACCGCCATGCCTGTCCGGGAGAGCCAGTGTGTCAGCGAGCTCCTCTGATGAACACAGAGTGCCAGTGCTGGCAGCTTGTCATTCATTTACTGTCCCTTTTACCTCAGCACATTGTTGTCCTACATCTATGTTACTGCATATATTGAATGAATATTGTACATGATTGTTCTCACTATTCTGTTATTCGCTATAGGCAAGTACTTTACTGCACTTGAACAGATGACAATAAAACCACCAAATCCCCTGAATCCTAAAGTGGGGGTTAGGGTTAGGGTTAGGATTAGGGTTAGGGTTAGGATGACAACCTGGAATCCTGGATACTACCAGAGAAAGTCAGGTACAGTCCAAAGACCTGAGTCGACCAACAGGGAGGGACTCTGATGCTGTATGCTTCAGCAAGGAACTTTACTTCTAATCTAATCCAATATAAGGTTATCCATTTATACAGCTAAATTGTTTTAATTAATATGTGAGGCAACTTAACTTTAGCTGAATAAGAAATATTATCAGCTCGTAGCCCTCGGCCCCTAGTTAACACTGTTCCCTCATTTCCTCTCATTCTTGCTTCTTTTACTTGACACAAGGTCATGGCAAAACTCCCCAGGCAGCAACACCCGCAGCCTACTGGTTTCCAGACAGTGGAGGAGCTGAAGAGCCCCCCCCTCAAAGCTGGGAATAACGAGGTCGGCGCCGCCTAGAGATATTGCGACGGGAAAAAAAAAATTTACTTGCTGCTGAAACCACAAGGCCGTCGAAAATGACTAAATGCAATTCTGCCTCTTGGAAATGTAAACATCAAATGAATGGGAAAAAATCATCAGCAGCAGCTTGTGTGAGTCTTTGGATTTTAGAACAACATGTTCTATTACTGAATGAATTAACTCCTCTGATTTATGTTCAGATGACTGGCACACTTTGAAGCAACATGTGATTATGAGAAAGACCTCGGTGTGTATGTTGATGCTTCCATGTCCCACTCTCGCCAGCATGGGGAAGCAATAAAAAAGGCCAATAGGATGTTGGGTCACATCTCTCTTAAAAAGGACATTGCTGCCTTGGAAAGGGTGCAATGTAGGGCTACGAGAATGATTCCTGGTCTTAGAGGAATGTCTTATGAGGAGAGGTTAGCTGAGCTGAATCTGTTTAGCCTCGAGCAAAGGAGACTTAGGGGGGACATGATCCAGGTATATAAGATTCTAACAGGTCTGGATGCTGTTCAGCCAAATGGCTACACCAATATTAGTTTAAATACTAGAACTTGTGACCATAAGTGGAAATTAGCAGGAGAACATTTAAAAATGAATTTGAGGAAGCACTTCTTTACACAGCGTGTAGTTAGAGTATGGAATAGTCTTCCTGCTAGTGTAGCGGAAGCTAAAACCCTGGGTTCCTTTAAATCAGAGCTAGATAAGATTTTAACAACTCTGAGCTATTAGTTAAGTTCTCCCCAAAACGAGCTTGACGGGCCGGATGTCCTCCTCTCGTTTGTAAATTTTTTATGTTCTTATGTGGCTCAGTTGGCTAAGACTCAGTGCCCAAGATCAAAAGGTTGCCAGTTCAAGCCCAGCCTCAGCATGTCTGTAGGTCCTTAACTCCCTGGGGGCTGCTACAGATGGCTGCCCCTTTGCAGCCAAGTTTGCTCTCACCTCTGGAGATCAAGGTGGGGGAGGCAAAAGGAGAACTTCCCCATGGGAATCAAAAAATTATAATCATCATTAATCTGGAAGAATGTGTCTTACTGGTCATGGACTACCACAGGGCCGTCTCGAGACCCACTCTCCTCTCTGATGATGTTGACCAACTCAAAGGTGTTACTGATGGGACTGTCCGGGTTGGGCCACCTCGGCGCACGGTACTGCCGCACCTCCAGCGCGTAGTCATCCTGCAGGGCACAGAACCCATTTTAAACAACGTTTAAAGGTTTTTGTTCCTACAAAAATGCTCCGTCCGGTCCTCAGTCCTAAACTGGGCTCATGTGAGTAGTTAGTAAGACTAATCCTACCTGTGTGGCTTCAAGGATGAAGTCCTGCACCACTAGCATCTCCTCATTAGATAGGCACAAATGATCCTCTCCTGTGAAGGTGACTGTGAACATCTCACAGCTGATTGGTTGCTCTTTGTTGGGCCAATAAAATGCCTCTTCTTCAGCCTGAGAAAATGAGAAAGTGTTTTCCATAAGTTCCCTTCAGCTGAGCTACAAACCATCGACCAATAACAGAACACAGCACACACAACACTTCCTGTGTTACAGTTCGGTATTATCATCAATTAAGATGAAGACTCCATATTATTAGTACATTAT